CACCCCCACTGAATACCACCCAACTCTGTCTTCAGTTCTTCCTTCACTCAGTGCTTCGGTTCTGCCAGCGCACCTCGCGTTGCATCCAAATCCAGCGAGATGCCTCCTCCACCCACTACTACTATACTTTAATAATCCCAGGGAGAAATTAATTTCGTTACATGACTCCATATGTAATAGAGTGACTATAGGACCAGTTTGATATAACACAAATGTTCTTTTTCCTTCAGGACATTTCCTGCTGACATACTTGTTGCTTGATCTAATCAAAAGATCAGCCCCGGCCAGAATCATAAACGTGTCTTCGATGGCTCATTCCTGGGGCTCCATCAATCTGGAGGACATCAACAGTGAGAAGAGCTACAACAAGAACAAAGCTTACGCTCAGAGTAAACTCGCTAACGTGCTCTTCACCCGCTCACTGGCTAAAAGATTAGAAGGTACGGGTCACAACCTCCTCTTTTTCTTTGTTTTTTCTAGTTATCCTTATAGTAATGGTTTGCAGCTATATGGACAATTACGTACAGCTAATTGGTTTAGTTCAATATGACCACTAAATCAGTGGTTTGTAAAAGTGAGAATTAAAAGAACAAATTTCAGGTTGTGCTTTTTCTCCAATCCAGAGGGTCAGAATAAAAAACAAAAACAAAAAAACAATTGAGTTAAATATTAGTTGGCAGGTTAAAGTTCAGCTCTGATTTTTTTTTTTATAGGCATTATTGGCTTTCTGTCTAGAAACAGCCCCACAGCATGATGCTGCCACCACCCGGTGTTGCTATGAAACTAAGAATTCTGTACAGTTTAATAACTGTAGGTGTACTATTTCAGTTCCCTCTATTTTTATTTTTAAGATGTCATTATGGGCTGACGTCCTGCTACATTTAGGTGCTCCCCTGCTTCAACAAACTGACTCAAACATCAGCTGGTTAGCAGAGCTTCACTGCATGCTGATGAGGAAGTTTAGTCATTTGGTTCCGGGTGTATAAAGCTACTCTTTGTTTTGTTTTGTTTTTCAGAGATCAGCATATTGCTGCCTGTTTTAAGGATAAGGTTGCTTGGAGAGTCGGACCTAGTTCTAGAATGAACTGCAAAGAACATGCACACATTTTTTATTTCTGCCAAATAAGCACTTGAATATATTTAACATATAGAAATTATGGTTTCAAAATATTTGTAATAGTTCATCAAAGAATTTAATTCTTAGTCTGTGAACCCCCTTTTTACTCTGTAAAAATTCCTCAAATAAGCCGGATCCATGTTTGTTTTAAACACACTTGTATAAGTTATACAAGTATAGAAAATGCGCAATTTGTTGAGTAGTATGATTGCAATAGTAAATGATTAAATAATCCTGGAAATGAATTAAATATGTATAAACTCCATAATTCTACTGCTTTGCTGAAAATTGGAGCATCAGCCACTAAACTACTGCTTGACTGTACCCCTACTTTTTGCTTTATCATATTGACTGTTTTTTGTAGTATTTGTTCCTACACATAATGAGATAAAAAAAAAAAAAAAATCTGCATGTTTATGATATTATCCTATTTAATCTTAGCTGGTGTAAGGAGATATTGGTGGCATTTTAATTTATTCCTAATGTTTAATATTTGCTCTTTGTGGGCTGTTAACATCCTACCTATGATGGATGCTTGTAAATCTCTGAAGTTTAGTTTTTACAAAGATACCTGTTCCCTTCTAGGTACCGGTGTGACCACGTACTCCCTCCATCCTGGGGTCGTTCGGACAGATTTGTGGCGCCACCTGAGCGCTCCTGAGCGGTTCTTCATAAATCTAGCCAAACCTTTCACCAAAGACTCGACCCAGGGAGCTCAGACTACCATTTACTGTGCAGTGGAGCCGTCTCTGGAGAAGGAGAGTGGTGGATATTACAGGTACAGTTTGTTCCTGTTAAGCTGCTCGTTTGTTCAAAGTTGGACAGTTACAGTAGTAGTTAATGACTTCTGGGTTGGTCTCTGTAGGGTCTTATCTCCCCAAGTGATCCTACTTTAATTAGAAAGCTTGGACATAGTAAGTTAGAGAAGCTTATTTTAACCTTTGGTTGTTTGTAGTGACTGTGCTCCTGCCAACACCTCCGCTGCTGGGAAAGACGAGCTGGCAGAGAAGCTGTGGGAGCTGAGCTGCAAGATGCTCTCCTTGACATGGGAATAAGGCCTTCCCTCTGTTGCTTTACTGATTGTTACTTCATTCCTTTAATAACGCACACTAACTAAAATCATGATCTTATTATTTAACTGCTCCCTGTTGCACAGCATTTTCCCTGCTGTGTTTGTATATGTGTTTAATATGTTAATATGAGGTTTTACTAACCCCTCCCCGCCCCCACTTTGATGAATGATTTTAATATTTGCAGCGATAAAGTTTATAAAGTAATTCAGTCTTTTTTTGTTGGTCTTCCATGTTTCAGGGTTAGACTACATCCAGGTTTATAAAAGGAGCATCCTTTTATCCATTAGTTTGGTTATTACAGGTTTATCCAGGCACTTCGTGAAAATTGATTTCCTGTCATTTTGAATGCTTTTCTAAATTAAAGATTTGAATTTACAAATGAGTCCAAATTAGAAAGCTATGAGATATTCACCTTGTTTATACTTTATTAGCTTCTCTGCACGTTGAGCTACATTCACTTAACCTATTCAGATGGGCAGGAGAGTATTTTTTTCATTTATCAAAATGAAAAGCTGAAAACACTGAAATATTGATTTTTCAAAAATACTGGAGCATCTTGAATCTTTCCACATGTTGATTACATTTCAATGTGTTTTATGTGCTGGACCAACACAAGAAGCATATGAGACATTTCCTTATTGCCCCTGCAGTGGTTAAATTCACATCTCACACAAGACTAAGATGACCGACTTCCAATCCTTTTTCTAAGTTATTCATCAGAGCTCATGTCAATTTGCAGCATCAAGTCTTCTCCTGTGGTCCAAGCCCCAAAGAACTTATATAATGTCAATAAAAATCTTTATAATTGCAACTTTTTTTGTGTGAGTCTCTTCAGGTTGGAATGGTACAGTATTAAGGGTTTTTTCAAAAAAAAGGCAGAAATCCTGCCTCAGACTGAATCACTGCCTTGCTTCCATCAGTTTGCCCCAGCACAGCTATGGCACAATGTAGCTCATCAGGATGTGCTGTAAAGTTATTTGGAGTCCTTGGGCTTGATAAAGCCTCGTAAGTAGAGGCCATCAGCAAGACTACAAGTTTAAATTATTTTAATTTTGTATCTGGGAGTAAAACCTAAAATCGGGGATAAATTTTACGAGAAAGCATGCGTACTTCTGGTAAAATCTTTAATTTCAACACCAGAACAGATATGCAAACTATAAACAAAATCCAACACTACAGAAGAACCCAAGGCCACCAAAGCACGGCTTAGAATACGTTGATCCAACAGGATCTGACCAGTTTACTATGAACGTATCAGACGGTGGCTGAGGATCATGTGAAGCCTTATGGGAAAACTTCAGATCTTGATCTAATCGAGATGTTTGGTGACTTGAAATGACGAAAGTAAAAAAATTGCTTAAACATCTCATGGTGTGGCATGGGTTTGAAACGGTGTGCGAAATACCTGTCAATATTTGGGGGGGTCCCCATCTCCCGATTGTTGCGCAATACCGATCTAAATTTTCTCAATATGCAGTAGGCCTATGACATTTCAAAGACAGGCACCTTTAATGTCAATTCTTCACTTTCACCAGACATACAAGGACTCGAGAGGACGTTTCTCATTCACCAACAGTGAAACCGATAAAGTGCACAGGCACAACAGATAAGATCAGTTCCTAATACTAAAATTTAAACATTCAATTTCACAAAATATAAAATGTACAATA